GTTTGTATCGATATCCAGTTAGGTATGTATTTTTGTTTCCGGAACAGCTTCTGACAGCCGAAAGTCCAGGATAAGCAAAAAACCCTCGAAAACGGTTTACGCAATGTAAATTCGGTTGACATGTCGTCCACATACTACGGTTATACAAGGACGTTCTGTTAACTGGTCATCTGTTTTTAGTCTTCCAGGCGACGGTGTCTTTTAAGTCATTCGATGACAGTATTCGTTTTGTTCGACTGATCTGGAAACATACACCCCAACGACGAAATCATACATGGTTTAATTCCCACGTAATAATGCATACAGCCTTCATTGGATCAAGCCGGAGATAGGTTTAAGGTACTATCGCCTGAACAAGGTTGACCGAAAAAGATACTTTTGTTTATTCCCAGTAGGGAGTTGCTCGCCTCGGTCATAATGGTTAGTAACTGTCGTCTTTGTTTCCACGACCACAAGGCACACTGTCACATGGATGTGACCGGTGGAATGAAGTAACATAATTCTATCACCGAACTATTCAATATTCAGCGAGGGATCGTGTATACAACATTCTCACAAAACACTGTTCTGAGATATGGCCGGAATTGCCGTATTCTAAATGAAAATCTAGTGGGACTTTTTGGTCTCATGACGACGAAAGTATCTCAACCGTCGCAGGTCGATCCACTCAACTAGAACTTTTCTTCGATGCCCACTTACTAAATTGCAACTAAACTGTTGAATGAGCCTGGACAGACAGCACGTATTGATCCGTCCACAATACTTCTAGATACAAATAATTAGATGCTTTAGTGAAAGCCAGAAACATATTGTGCGAAGTCTGAATGCGTCCACAAACTCTGTCTATTTCAAGCAAACAGTCTAGTCAAATTATATGCAGCTTGGCACGTGCTTAGTTAGTGTACAGCATAAGTGATCCAACCATCACCAGCTATTTGCATTTTTGTTTTTTCTAATCCATTGATCACACTTATTCTTACGGAAGAAACGCGAGAACAAAACATCGTAGTGTTAACAACACTACCTCACCAAATGTGTGTTAATTGGCAGAGGCGCTGAAAGAAAACAGTAGTACTTCCGTCCCTCTCCAAAAGAAACCAAACTTGGGATGAATTAAAGCATATAGTAGCACTGTGCATGGCGATGAAAGTCTTACTAACATTGTATCTAAAGAGTGTCAAGGCAAGGAGTGCACATTTTTGCAGCCTGATAACACATTCGGCCTTCGTGTTCAGTTTAAGACTACAACGTAGTGCACATTCTTACCTAGAAGTATACCCTATCTAACTTATATTGGGTAAATAGATAAAACTTCGGTCGTTTCGGAGAGCACACAAGCTGCTACCGTGTTGTTTGCATTGATGCACTAGACCTCTCCAAACATCATACTGATATACGAACAGATCAATTTCCATTTCTAAGTACTTTATTAGAGTGAGGAGGCGATGACTCCACTGCGCTGTCAGTTTACACGAAGCCAGCATCTACTGATCAGTATACACGCTTCCATGGTTTTTGTCCGGCGACGTGTAAAAGGGCCTAATGCACACATTGTTTTCGAAAGCGCAACACACTTACAGTAATGACACGTTACATGACCTTGATTTCTTTTATAGTATTTCATAATAAAACGACGAACTGTTAGTTTTTATCAGGAAGAAATGAATTGTAAGATCAAGGGGATATTCGTTTATCAACAGCATCCAGGAGGTACCGGTTAGGGACGATGTATTTACCAAACAACTGACAATATATGAGGACGCAGCAATTTAGTGTGGCTGATACACTGCTCGTCTTTGAGTACCACAACAAACAATGCAACTAATCGTGTCACCGAGCAAGAGAAGCCTGAATGGCCAGGTCACACCTTGTGTAATTTAGAAGTCTTCATACAGTTGCGGTGAGGGCCACAAAGGCAGGACTAATCAGTTGTCTCGAAAGGTCAAAATCCGTCTTTCACAGTTACTAAGTGCAATAACGAGACAGGTCACAAAGTAAACATCAGTGCATGCAGCATTCTACTTCACATCGGAATAAAACGTTTCCTGCAATTTGTTGAAGTGTTTTCAATCAACAGTATCAGCCCGTCTTTGTGTGTTCAGAAGATTCTGTTGTTGACACAACTGGTGCTTTGATAGCTCAGCAGGAAGAGGCCACAAAGAGTCCGTGATTAGTGATTGTCTCTGGTACATAGTTACCGTTTGTCAACTACATTTCGGCATTGTTAGTGTTTCATTTTTAAACTGAAAAGAGCTCTGAAAGCTTCTTACTTGATTACAATAAACGCTGGTAACTGATGATCGTTGTGCAGCCAGGAAAAGTGTCTGATCGCCCGGGCTTAGTATAGTCTAGCCAGCAGAATGGTTCTCGTCAGTCTATAAATCTCCGGAAAGGCGGATTACTCCAGTTAGCGGTAGTGTGCAGTTGGCGTAAGCGAAATAGCGATAGACTCTTCGAACAACCATTGAACTAAAAATTAATTCTGTTATATCTGTTCAGTGGTTTGAATGAAAACGTTAAAAAAACTAACACTAGTGGATGCCAACATGTTACATTGGTCCATCCATACCGAGTAATTTTCAAACTAACTTCCGCATTACATGAACAAAAGAAATAGGCACCAAACACCAATCAATGTAACATGAACGGCAGGGTTAGAGATTGGTCCACGACATCCTAAGGCTAACAAATAATTGTTTTTGAACACACAACACAAGTTAGCACTGGTTTATCGTGACGGTTTCTTTAGATTTTAAGGAATAGGGCTTATCCCAACATTTCAAAGGGAGGCCTTCAACAGTTATATGTAGCGATTATAATTCATAACCGAACATTGTGTGTTGTTGTTTTATTGCGTGAATAAGTACCACTTTGCTGACTGACCGACTGCGTTATTACCATTGCATAGAAACTAGATCTGGGTTTTAGCTAAGCACATTTCCGATTACTACTAAATACAACACTATATTTGACTGAAACCGATCCACGCGGCGGAAACGTGCTACCCCCTTTAACTCAGCCAACGTCGATCAGTGCACGCATACATCCACATATCGTTCTAGATCATACTTACCAAACTGAAACCCTTTCTTGTATGCTGCCAGTGTTCCTTGTTAACTCGAACTAGACAGCCGTCTTGGTGATCTGTCACTGACCTCACTGGAAGTACACAGACTATAAGTGCAAAAACCTGGTTTCATTTTATAATTGACACCTCAATGTAGTGAAGGCGTATATCACGGAGATGTCACTTTTAACTAACGGGATCCAATAATATTCACATATTAAGTAGTGTTAGTCTGTAGAGTGTAGAAATAAGCGCATCTGTTGTTGGTTGTTTCTAAATAGAATCAAACATGGACCTTCTCGTCCAGAGTATAAACAGAGTATAAAGTATTCCTTAACGTTTCTAATGGACCAAATGGTCATAGCACACACTCACGTGAAGTAGGATGAGACGGCTCAAAAATGAGGCTAAAAACTGAGAAATGTTATGCGCTGCCTAGCGGTTTGTCAGCATGGCCGTATAACATCAGGTTGGAGTTTGCAAATTGTGCAACAGAAATTAATAGACAGCTTAAGTTTTCTTTGTTTCAATGGGAAGATTATTAGGTTCCAGTCAGTCCTGTTTTAATTCGTAAGTCTGTTTTGTCTATGAATGCTGTTCCTTATTATCAGTCGTTTTTTGAAAAATTATCGTGACGTCACATTCAGTTAGAGAAATATTACATGTTGTTCGTTTGAACTCATTGATACAAGCTTTTCAATCTCAAAAAAGATTATCAACAACCAGGTGTTATCAGTAGTGGGTCACGGTAACCGAAACATTAGAATGACGAAATCAAGCCAGTTGACCTTGAATAAGTGTACACAACTGTGCCAGCTAATCTGGCTATGGTTACTGCGATGTGTTGGTGCCGTTCACTAGCTCCATTCCGTTAGGAGATATAATTTTATGTAAGCCATCTGGCAAAAACTTCACTTAAGAGTTACATAAATATTTGTACTCCAGATCTTGTTCCCATGTCCCTACGATAATTGTGTGCACGTGTGATTGTATTCTACAGCGTTGATCAGGACGTAAACGCATGAAATATATCGTTTCTTTGCTCTCTCGAAGAACACGATAAACCCATGTGTTCGCATTGGTTGTTACATCACTGAAAATGCATAAGAAAGATTAGAACCTGGTATAACACAAATGCAACCAACAACATGGTAGTCATTTTCTTCCGTTTAGTTCCGAATATGACGCTGCACAAACGCAATGTCCTAAGATTATTGTACATCATCCTAGCGGTAAAAGTTGAAGTAGAACAAAATAAACCAGGTAAGTTTCGTCTGTGATGTAGTGTAGGTTAACACTTGCACACAGACTGTGTTGGATAATCGAAATAAACCTGAATCAACAATCGGATATATCGATAGAAAAATAACTGATTATCAGGGTAATAAGAATAAAGCTATAAAGAAGAATATATGATTTAGATAATTCATTTTCAGACCGGTAAAATTATATAAGGGGTCAACAGAGATAGATCGAGAAATCGATCAGACATAGTACAGAGAAACTACGTCACTGTTCAGCCAACTCGCAGAAAAGTCAAGTCATCGCCAATTGACTGACCAGTGATCTAGTTTCTCTGTACTAGGTCTGATCGATATCTCGATCTTATTCTATTAACTCCTTATATAAGTGTACCGATCTGAAGATGAATTATTCCAAACATATGTTCGCCTATATGTTTTGATTCCCATTCGTCTGGCAGTTTCAATGACAATGGCTGCAATTGGCCAAAGTGGGATCGTTAGAATTGGTCTCCGTCGGCGAGTTCACTTTACCGTGTGTGATGAAGCCTCCCGCGAAAGTGTTGATTCTCAACCGGTATTTTGCGATACAACCACGGATTCTCTGAGAAGATGAATGTACGAGTAAGAAAAGCTCCCGGGCTGCACGCTGTTCTCACGGCCCGAGCGCCCGTCTAGGTCGAAACGATCGCCGTCCCGGGAGGGACTCGAACCCTCAATCTTCGGCTCCGGAAACCGACGCCTTATCCATTAGGCCACCGGGACGTGACTCGTGTACATGCACTGCACATTACGGCAAATGTTCGTATTCCATGTACTCAGACAATAGAATGTGGATCGATGTGTGACGTTTGAACATATGGATGATGAGGAACCGTGACATTTAATGTTGCTTCAACGGAATCCAGACATCCTCCTCAGCAGATCAGATAAAGGAGCTGGAATTGTCATCCTGAATAGAAGCGATTACAACGAGAAATTGAATGACATTTTTGCAGACCAGACCAAGTTTCGTACAGTTGCCAACGAAAAGGACAAAACCGAGTATGCCGAGAAACAGATCACTAAATGTCTTAAGTCATTAAGAGAGGAAAAGCTGATAACCCCTGCGACTTATGAGCAACTACGACCAGTCTGTACGGACTACCAAGAGTCCACAAACCTGGTGTACCGGTTCGTCCAATACTTGATCTGATGAATTCATCTTTCCACTCAACGTTATACTGCTCCATCCAATTTATAACTGCAATTCCCACTTTTGTTTAGGAAACCTGCTCACAGTTAGATATCTTTTTTCAAACTAGATGCTTAATGTAGATAACAGACTGTTTTGAATGACAAAGTAAGCAAATTTCGAATTGCGATGCATTTAATCCTTTCAAGGATCAACATCATTGAAACATTTTTAGTCAAACCAAGCCTATTTACATAATGAATCAAAGGCTGATCATGAAATTGCTTAAATGCAATTGTAAGTACTCTGAACGAATTGCTTGACATGCTAACAACGGATTTGTGTGCGACCAAAGAACTTGGTGCAAGTTCTATGCAGAAGTAGTGTTTTCTCGGAGTAACTTTGAACAAGAATTCACCAAGTGATCGCTGGAACAAATAGGTGGCGTTTCGCAGGCATGGCCAGTCGCAGAGAAGATATCAAGTATTTCTATTTATAGTCCTACCATTTAGAATTGTTGGTCACAGTAACACAGTTACACAATGCCTAAAACAGAATGTAGTTATGTATCCTTGATCCATTTTCGGAATTCCTTAAAAGAAAGAACCAATCGAAAGACATTCCCAAAAATACAATCATCTCCCTCATGTTGATCTTCTCTATTTAGTGCTGAAATAAGAAAGAAGCAGTGCGATCTGCCTTGTGACTATGGACCATTAGTGAAGAAATGGTTTGCTTGATTTTCTCGTCAAGTTAACGCGTGATATTTGTCCGAGCTTCTTCGATCTTACCTGTCTACATCAGGGCTAATTATTCACCTTCTGTACACCTAGAGTTTTTATTATCTCGGCTTAGCGGTACCAAGCTGTGTGATTCCGAATGCAAACGAGACTCAATAGAGTTGTCTATAAAAGAATCATGATCATCGACAAAATTCGCACTGATAGATAAAAAGAGGTAAATTGCACTTATTCACAGACGAACAGTGTGGAAAATCCTATACTCGCTGAACTCAAGCACTAAGCACTACTTGCTTGTCTCTTTTAAATGCAAAATGATGTGTAATCTATGGGAGAATTTCGAGCCAAGAAAACTAAATGTAGTGCTTAGAAAACTCCCGTACCCAGGGAGGCTACAGGCAATCAGCCAATTATCATTAGAGATACGATAAAGATAAAGCTATTCTTCACTCCTATTCAATCATACTCTTCGATTCACTTTTCAGTAAACAAGACTGAATGCTTATGGAATTATTTCTTGAAATTGGTGGATTGATAGAGGAGACCACTCTGTCTCTAAGGTTTCCTCGCTTCTTCAAGTGTGCATGGAGGAATATAACCTACCTCTGTTATCAGAGATGATGTGTACAATAAGGAACAAGACCGCATCCAGTTGGCATAGCCATCTTCCTAGTTCTTTCTCACAAGTCATCACATATCTGCCCATTTGTCAGAATGCTACCCCATTACGGCTAAATGTTCACTGTTAACACCTCTGCACGTTTCCTGAACAGTCCGGTTCTTTCACATTCGTTCCCTCTAGTCGACGCATCAAAACACAGTTCATTCCCCCGAATTACACAAAATTGGAAGAAACACTCCATCCAGTGTATTTTAACACACTAGTTGAAAGGTTCCTTCCAGCTGTACAAATCTACCAACGTATGTGGTGGACTGTGTGTTGACAACCATCTGTCTCGAAACTGATTGTGTTATTGTGCTTCAAAGAACGATTTAACCGCGGTGAAATTGTAAGCAGATAGAGCGGAAACTTTCGACTGTCCATTTGTCATAATCTCCCTTCACACACCGCTGATGTTTGTACTGCAGCCAAGAATGTTATAAGTAACGAAGTAGGTAAACACTCAGTAGCCTCTTCGATGGATGAACGATAAGTGAAATAATGAATATGAACTAAGTAGAGAATAACAGCAGAATGATGAGAACCGGGAACAGATAAATATGGGTGTGTACCTTAATCTGATCAATCGTACAAAATACAAATAGAAAGAACGTATTTATTAGGGTGAAGTAACAATTCGGATGAGAATTTTTCACAAGCTATAGAGTCGGAAACTGACAGCTCGTCATAATTTTCATCAAAATACACAGCAAGCTGGAGACGCTGATTTATCAGTGAATCGGTAGAGTAAGTGATACGAGACGTAATGAGAATTGGGAAACTAGATATAGATTGATAATTGTCTGGTTCCGATGAGTAGCTCACTTGCAGAGCACAGCAGCGTTCAGCAGCCACATTAAACAGTGAGTGACACGACAGATTATTCGTTGGCATACGGAGTATATAACGTAACCAACGTAACTTGGTTACCTGCCCCGAACTCGCAAGTTTCCAAATACTCGTCAACAAACTGTCATATTGTTCACCCAGCCAGCCAATGTGATACAGGCTAACTGGCGGAGATTACATAGGTTGAACATCAAGAGTCTAGATGCATCTTCATCATAAATGGGTCAGATGTGTGATACATAGCAGAGCAAAACTGGGCGTATACACGCATGGTAAACTCTGACATTAATTGGAAAATTGACGTCTCCGGGACACTAAATGAGTGCATAACATGCTTTCGCTATCCTCGTGGAAACCTCGGCATCAACACTACAAGCCGACGAGATGACAATGTTCAGTTTGGGGTAGCGATCGATAGTCTCCTGCGTCCTGTGTGTAATAACGAGACATGATCAGTACCAACTAAATTTAGTAATAACACTTCACCCATTAAATATACCAAATAGATACTTTACAGATCAACTATATGATTTAACAGGTTCGGTATGTTTATGCCCGGTTTAGTCGTGAGAAGAAGCGCGTAGCAAACAAGCTTGTTTTCAGTGTTTCATTATCATCAGGCTAAATACAACACATTTATATGGGTTTGATAGGGGTAGTACATCAGTAGGGTGAGGGTTGTCACGGTGGTCAGACTCGTGAAGTCTAAATATGTAACGCCAGCAATTTGGGTTGTAAACGTTTTTCGCTAATCGATACTCCTACGTTACAAATCGATCCAAGCTATTGATACATGGCCACGAGAGGTTCAGTGTTTTGACCAGACGTTTTTGTGAACATAACTGGGGTGAGTGTATGCGGATTGTGATGGCTTCTGCGATTGCTAATAGACGACCTTTGACTCATTTCGATTGCGCTCCACCCACTCAATAGATCGGCTTAAACGAATCGGCCTGGTTGACCAGATGGTTCGATTCTACCAAGTGTGCAGCGACGGCCTATGAGCAAGCCTTTATGGGTCCTCGAGCTAGCCCCACCGCATGATGCTCCCATATGCGTTCAGATAGTCACTTTGTTGTGCGGCCTGTGCAGCTTGTCCCATAGGAACAAACAAAACGGTAAACACAAAAAGAGGCATCATGTACAGGCAGTATATTTTTTAACTGGGGACGCGAAACTGATGTGGAGGTAAATCGTACACGTAGTTGGACTGCAAAATAGGTGTTGTTAAGTGCTACGTTAAGTCCTCTGGTCATATTTACAGCATTGCTGTCGACTTTGAAAGGCGATGCAATATAGACGGATTTCTAATCTACAGTTTGCGGTATCTCTACCTTCGTGAAAATCATCACCTGCTTACAAATAAACTGTTCTGGATAATCATTTTTAAAGAGTATGTTGAATAGGAACTGTTTTTCTTCTTCTATGGTGTTATCTGAGCAAATTTTCACAGCTCTATCTAGGAAACACCAGACTAAATTCTTCTTTTACTTCAAAGGTGCAAAGCTATTGAAGTTAGTATACTGTCCTGACCAGGTTGCTTTACGATATACTTTACGTTGTAACGTACCGTCTTCACGACGTGAAGTGAACACGTCTAAAAACGCTATACCTACTGGTGATTCGGGTTCCAGGGTAAAGTGGCTATTTTTGTGGGCGCAGTTGAGGTGCACCAGTGTTTCATTAAGACATTGAGATTCGTCTATCATGCAGATAATATCGTCTAAATAACGTTTATAAAGAGCTAGTAACTTTATATGATCTGCTAGTGAACTATTTCCAAGCAGTGTCATGAAAAAATATCGGCTAATAAAGGGTCTAACGATGAACCCATTGCTACTCCATCCTTTTGACGATATAGCCTACCGAAGAAACTGAACTGAACGTTGTAGGTGGAGCAATACAAATGCTGCTTTAGCTCATTTTTAGATACCCCCACGTTTATGTCATTATTCTCCACATACCAACCGAGAAAATCAAATGTCTTAGTTAATGTGATATTTGTGAAGAGAGACGTGACGTCAAGTGAAAATAAACGCATTCTCTTTGTGGTATGGTCCGCATGTTCTCTGTAGAAAAGATCCAAGTAAAGCAACGTCATCCGCATACCCTATATCAGTCAGCTAAATGTAATTATGGGATACTCGTAACCTTCCAGTGACCTCCTCCAGAACAACGTCCATCACGTAGTTAAGCAGGAAGGGTTATGATAGTACAACCCTGTCGAACGCCACTTGACGTGGGAAACGCTCAAGATGGCTGCACATAAATGCGCGAAATGTACTCGGTGTGGACCACTTCAACAGCCTGACACACTTCACTGGAACTTCTCTGCGGTGGA